TTTCTGGAGGACACAATTCAACCTGCCACCCCACACAAGACTGAGGATGGCAACAGAAGGGATGGCTGTGCGGACCCACAGGAGATGATGTCCAAGCTAAGAAGGCTGGGCTCAGTTCTGGTACCCAGCAGAGGGGTCCTCATCCCTGACCCAGGGGTCTCTCCCTCAGAGCTCTCCACTGGCCAAGCACCCCTGACCCCTGGACCCACTTCTTAGATGTAAAAGGGAATGCAGGCCAAAGGGAGAGAATGCATACAGGACAGAAGGTGGGAGCAGATGGGCTGAAAATGCTGATTTGCTGGTCAGTGTGTGCCATGGACACCAGGAAGACCTGTAACAGAACTGAACGGAGCAAGGCCACGTTCACCCGTAGGAGCGTGGATATGGTGGATATGGTGGAGACAGCGGCTTCACTACATCCCGCTTTGGAAATATGCCGTGGCCCAGGTGTGCATTGGGAAGCGTGATTATTTAAGACGTGCCCACAGAATTACGATTTCTGGATAGAGAAGGCCCTGAGGGTCGATGGTTGAGAATGCCATCTAAGACAGCACAGGACTCTGCAATGATGCTGGCTTTTTCTTGAACTCATGACTCTATTCACCCTGAGGATTTTGTACGGGGATGTTTACAGATACACACAGGCACCATAACAGCCAGAGGGATCTAAGATGCTGACGTGTTACATAAGATGGACCGTGGATAATTCGGTTCAATACCATTCACGGTCCCATTCTGACGTCCACTGGGACCAGCCAGTTTTATGCACAGAGCACACGTTTATGAGGATTCTGTCTGCGCCTGCTGCTGTGGAGATAGCCTTTAGCTACACAGCCATGATACCCAGCCACGGGCTCAGTAGCTTTGAGGAATTAAATGCTGAAATACAAAATAGTGGTGCATAGAAAGGGCATCACCTGTAGGATGGGCTGGAGCGTCATGGTGAATTACATACACTTTGTATTAGCTAAGCCCTGGGTATTTATGGGGAATCTCCTACATGCACAACATAACTGTTTGCATCAGGAACAAGACAGAGGCCCTGTCTCCAGGGGGGGTAGGGTGGTCGTCCTGCTCCTTAGGACACCAGCGAGGGTGCTACCGGGGCTTCTCGACTGCAGGGACACTCGCAGGAGGGAGCCACTGAATGACCAGGCATTGTCCCCAGGAGGTTGATCCATGAACACAAAGGTGATCCTACTCAAACTCAGGCCCTGTCCTGGCCACACTGCTCTTCAGAACGAAGCCAGCCCCACCAAACCCTCCCCAAGGACCGTCGCCTCTAGGAAACGACCACCACACAGGGATGTTTCAGGATCTGTCCCCTCCAAGGCTGCTTCATGGACACCATGGCTTCTTCCATTTAAAAAGTGATTGAAAATTGTATTTTACAATCATGCTGGTAAGACGGCCAAGGAGCGGGCCTTATTTATATTCATCAGGATTGTATTCTTCCTGTTTTTCTGTCTGATTTGTAAGAAGTAACACTGAAAGCACCATCACAGACCCTGAAGAGGACTGTGAGCCCCTTGCCGTGGGCAAAGGGTGCTGGGTGGTGACGGTGACGTGGGCTCTGGGTCAATCAGATGGCTGCTCCCTCACCCTGCTGGGCCCATTCTAATCCCACGAGTCCTTGAAAGCAGAGGACTCCGTCCGGCTGGAGACAGAAGGGGAAGTTGGAGAAATTCCAAGTAGGAGACAAAGGGGACACTTGCATAGACCAGAGAGAGACCACTGGGAGGCAAGGGCTGTCCCTGTTGACAGACAGCAAACACGGACTTTCCCCTCCACTGCCCCGAGGAACTGGACTCTGCCAGCTGCCTGAATGAGACTGCAAACAGGTTCCCCCAAGTCAACCCCATGGGAGCCCAGTGGGTGGACATCTTGATTTTAAGATGTTGAACAGCAGACCTCCGTGGAGCTGGAATCCTAAATCCACAGCTCCAGAAACCACATGAAATACAGACACTTGGAGGGCGATGAGGCAGGAGGGGTCCTAGGTCTTGCCCCCAGGGGACAGATGGCCTGGCTTTGCATCCACAGGTAACATGCCTGGCAGCTCGCCTTTCTGTTTTGGACAAACACCCAGAAATTCTTCCTCTCCCACGAAGGAGAGGCATGGAGGGCCCTGGTGGATTTTACTCTTAGAATCCTGGCTCTAGGGCCTTCTGATTTGGGCACGGTGGGCCACGGCTCTTGTGGGAAACTCTTCAGGGTGGGTGGTGGCTGCTGTGTCTTTCCCTCACATTGTATGCTGGGTACAGCTGGCCAGGCCAGCCTGCCTGACACCACCTTGTCTTTCCAGAAATCCTGGGAAGGCTTCCCTGCCCCCATTTCTTCTGCAGGACAGAGGGTTGCAAAGGCCAGAGGGGTCCTTCCTAAGCCACCCTTGGGTTGCACCAAGCAGCCCGGGATCTAGATGGGAACCCACTCCAGGTGGCCTCAGCGGAGGGTCGCGCCCAATAGCTGGGCTATGTGCCCTTACAGCCAGGGCCGGTGGCTTCACTCCCTCTGGGTGCGGGGTCAGCCTTCTGAAGGGTTGTGTAGGACTGCATGATCCTGGGTCCTAGCTAGGCCCTGGTGGGGTCAGGGTGGGGGATTCTCCATCCTGCATCTTGGCAAGGCGTGGGGGTAGCTGCCCGGGCATGGGAAGGGTGCTGGACAGCCCAGCAGGTGTTAAGTGTAATGGGGCAAATGCAAGCTTGGTATGTCTGCCTCTGTGTTGCATGTTTTCCTTGTTGCCCTGACCTTTGGGTTGAATAATTTCTGCTCAGCCCTGCAGGCAGATATGTTAATCATTAGAGAAATTTTTCCTCACAGCTCCTTTTCGCAAATAGCTTACCCCAGACGTGTCTCTCCCAAGGAGATAGGGAAATATGCATAAATATAATGATGTCCTGTCAAAGATTTATGGGATCATTGTGACCAGATTTATATCGCCAAGAGTCAGCTAGCCAGGGACATGGACTTTCACAACTGTCCTTGGACTCTCTGGCACCGAGAGGTCTGCAGCCATCTGTGACCTCTCAAGCTCAGCGCCCACCTGCTCCCTAACACGGGGCTGGAAATCCACCCTGACTTAACACGGGGCTTTAGGAGTTGATCGACCATCTCCTTCTTTGCTGGCTGTCCCCATAAAGTGTCTTTCCTGGCCCCAACGCCTCGTGTCTGGACTTACTGGCCTGTCCTGCGGGGAGTATCCCAAGCTTGGACTCCGCAACATGGGGGCCCCAGGCTGCGAGTGGGGGTGGGGTCTATGGTCTGGGGGGCCTGTCTCAGAGCACCGGCAGGGTCCCAGGGTCTGTCCAGGCTGGAATGGGGGACACGGGTACAGGCGGGTGGCAGGTTGGGCTGGGGTGGGGAGGCTGGTCGGGCTCTGCGTGGGCGGGAGCCTGGGCCTGGGAGGGTTTGGGGTCCGCAATGCAGGCAGGGGGAGAGGCATGTGTCCCCGGTCTGGTGCCTGTCCGGGCCTGGGGTCCCGCCGGGGGTCTGGATCCTGGATGTGTCGAGTCCAATTTGGGGTCTGGGTTGCGGTCCTGGGTCTGGTTCGGGGTCCCAGGTCTGGTACGGGGTCTGGGTGAGAGTCCCGGGTCCGGTTCAGGGTGTGGGTTGTGGTCCTTGTTCCGGTTCAGGATCTGGGTCTGGGTCCCGTTCGGGATCCTGGGTCCGGTTCGGGGTCTGGGACTGGGTTCCGGTCAGGATCCTGGCTCCGGTTTGGGGTCTGGGTTCCGGTCGGGATCCTGGGTCCGGTTCGGGGTCTGGGTCTGGGTCCGGTTCGGTTCGGGGTCTGAGTCAGGGTCCCAGGTCCGGTTCAGGGTCCCAGTCGGGATCCTGGGTCCGGTTCCGGGTCTGGGCCAGGGTCCCAGGTCCGGTTCGGGGTCTGGGTCTGGGTCCTGGTCAGGATCCTGGGTCCGGTTCGGGGTCTGGGTCTGGGTCCGGTTCGGTTCGGGGTCTGAGTCAGAGTCCCAGGTCCGGTTCAGGGTCCCAGTCGGGATCCTGGGTCCGGTTCGGGGTCTGGGCCAGGGTCCCAGGTCCGGTTCAGGGTCCGGCCCGGGCCCGGGTCCATCTGGGCGGCGGCGGCGGCGGCGTGGGCGGGGGAGGGCGGGCCGCGCAGCGC